CGGTCAACAATGAATACTTAACGTTGCAATGTAAATATATTTTTTTAGAAGGCAAAGCTTAACTTTAATATAACGTATTATATTATATGAGAAAAGACAAAAAAAAGATATCTAATCCTAGGTTTACCAATCGGTTGCATGAATAAAATAACAGCTTAACACAATTTGAGAAATAGAATTATAGAGGTTTTCTGTGCAAAATCCGACTTGTATCAAAGGCTTTATGGATGAAAACAGTTTGAACTAAGTTATGTAACAAGCGTTGTATAGATATATTTGTTGTATGGCATTAGATTATCGAAACATGCATGTGCTCTAGCCCTTTAATGTCTGAATTATGTTCGAACCGTGTACAAAATTATTTGTGCTGATTTTATCTCATCATACTGACACTGAATTTCATGTATATTTTGGTTTTAAATGTGTACTTATTTTTTATGTTAATTACGTTATGTCGCGAATTTGCGACATCCGGCGCTAATGGACCAATAGGTAATTTTAAAAATTGTCCGGCTCCTTTTTTTTCTGACACGTGTTTCCCTAAATATCCATGCACAAACAATAGAATATCACAAACTAAACACATGAACACGCAAGCAAATGTAGACTCACTTGTAAAATTCATGAAAACTATAGGTTAGTAGCTCAGGCATAGAGCTGCATAACTCTGCTGCACCGCTCACTGTCTAACTCTTATGAATGGGTATTTTGAAGCATGGCTATCGTGATTCTAGTACAGTAGAGTAACACGCTACATATGAAAGGACTTCTTTAATTGTGTATGGCCTTAGTTAAGACGCATATTTCTCATTCGACCTATATTTGCTATACACACAAAGTATGTGAACAAATACTGTCAAATAATGACAGTGTTCAGCCGTTGTATAGTCTTCCATGCTCAATGCAGCTGCTGTGGGTACTTGGTGTCACTTCTGTGGGTACTCAGTGCCATTGGTGTGGGTACTCACTGCTGTTGTTGATGGTGCCCGATATTTCTGATTTTGGTACTAAATGCTAATTCTGTTGTACTCAAATGTTACTGCTACAGATTACTAATAACACTGATACTCAGCACTGGCACTGTTGGTAAGCGATTACATTGCTGTGGGTACTCAGTCTTAGCACTGGGTACTCAGTATCACTGCTGTAGGTACTTGGTGCTGAATCTGTGGGTGCTCAGTGTCACTGATGTCGGTACTCAGTGCTGAAGATGTGGGTACTCAATAACACTGCTGTTGGTACTAAATGCCAGTGTTATGGCATTGATGTGGGTATTCAATTGCACTGTAATGGCGATTTTTGTCAGTATTTAACCTTTGAGTATTTATAAAGAGGTGTAATATTATGCTTAGTGTTATTATTGTCAAGGTTCCTGTGAAGGCCTTTCTTTGTTGGTAGCCAAGATAGTGGTCCACCACTCCACATACTGTTGTCTATTTTTATTTTTATGTTATCCTATTGAACAATGCTATTTTAAAGTTAAATTCATTATACTTTACCGAGCAGCATGATCACATTATTCTAGCATCGCTCTCCCTCCATATGCTGTGGTCAATGACACCGTCTCACTCTACTTCACCTACCGTTCTAAAATACCATTTTAAATAAAGACTAGTTCGTAAATCCTTTACTAATTTATAACTATACTTCAAGAAATGACAGCTTGGCGAGGCATCTTATGTCGCTAAATCTGCTAGGCACCCAAGTACAATTTTATGTCTTGTTGCCTGATGTCGTGTTTTCGCGAAAAACCGTAATCAGAAGATAACTTCCTAAATTATGCTCAAATTTGATTTATACGGTTTATATACATAAAAGAGAAAATAATAAAACTTTTAGTATTTTGTGTATTAAAAACGGACCACCCATTTAGTAATAATAATCAATTTATGTAGGCTGAACTCACAAAGTCAAAATATTTTCGCTGTGCTTGAGTCAAGAGAGCGTGCCGTCATAAATTTCGACTTTGCAACGTGACCGTTGGTACCGATACAACCGTCTGGTTGTACCCTATACACAACGACCGGCGGCAGTAGGATAAATGTACTTTTACGCATGTACTAAGCGCGAAATCGGTATGTCGCTTTTCGCGACAGTCGGCGTTAAGGGGTACCATGCGTCAATATGGGAACCTCGAGGTAGTCTAAAGACCGAGAGGAACAAGTGACGACAAGCCACTAAATTACAAACTTGCCGTAAGGCTTACAACCTAACTACAGGTTATCATTAAGGTCGACCACTACACTGCCGACTAGCCAAAGGCCGACCATTAAATTACCGATTAGCGTTAAGGCCAACCACCAATTTATCAGTTAGTCTTAAGGACGACCACTAAATTACCAACTTGCCTCAAATTCCACCACCAAATTACTAAAAAGGTATATCATCCTATAATATAATGACTGATAACAAAAATATAACTTGCATGCTTTTTATAATAAGACGTAGACTCCTATTATTTTTTACGGTTATGAAAAAAGAGCTTACTCAAAGTATATTAAACGAGCCGGCCCGCGGCATAACATACGCCGATATTTAGTTGTTGTTTTTTTTCTACTTTTCAGTAATTCATAATTTGTGAATTCGACAGTACCAACGCTGACACTGAAAATATTTCTTTAAAACACTATAAGTAGCTCGTTAAGGACCATAACCCCCCCCCCCCCTTCCTCCCCCCCCTCCCCCCCCCCCCAACGTTTAAAATAGTTTCAAACTAGATTATCTGCCCCTAATAGCCGTCACTACTCCCGACTCCACGAAGTTAAACATAGCGTGAACCACAGCTCACTAAGACCATGTAGGGGTGGGGATGGTAGGGAGCGCGTTTACAGCTTGTTTTCTAGCGTCTCACAAAAATGAATTATATATATAGATAATTTTTAGACATGTAGTTTTATTAAAACTAACGCTTTGAAATTACAATTTAATCGTTTAAAATAAAGAGGGATTGATTTCCCCTAAACTTTCTCGCATATTCTTATATAACACTAGGGGGGTGGCAACACGGGATATAGACATTTTTAATTACTCAAACTTTTTAAAATAAATTTGAATCCCTTAGAAAAAAAGAATTGCGCACCACGTGAATGGCCAAGAATATGTGTATTAATAGTGTGGAATATTATTAGTACTTTATAAATTAATTTTTGTTTTTTGAGAAATCGCAAAATAAATCGTAAATTACTACTTCCGTTTAACGGATCTAGCTCAAACGTGTACGTGTTGTTTTGTGTTTAGTTTTTTGTGTGTTTTCTGGACATCTTGTATGTATATGTCTGTGTTAATCTCTACAATCTACTGACTCCTTTTTAGCTTCAACTTTTTATTGTTCCGGTTTACGACTTGTAAAGTGAATATCGTTACATTACTCAGACACTTATTACTTTCTCGTATATACAAAAAAATCGAGATTTTTATAAACCTCGACGTTTTACACCCCACTAATACGGAAAAACATAAGTTTGCAATCTTGTCCGTATGTCTGTGTGTCTGTCTGTGTGTCTGTGTGTAAACACGATAACTTGAGTACCGTTACTGCTAGGTTGATGAAATTTCATATATAAGTATTTTATCAAAATCGTAGATCTTGTTTAACGTTTGAGCGATTTCGTATAACCGGAAGTGGTACTTTTTCTACTTTGAATTTTTCAAAAGCCTCTAACTTGAGTACTATTTCAGATAGATAAATGAAATTTCACATGAAAGTAAAAGATCTAATTCTCTACTTTCTGTCAAGTTTTGAGTAATTTCCGTTTACCGAAAGTACTAATTTGCGCTATTTCCGATTTCTCAAAAAACGCATGTAAATTTATAAAGTACTAATAATATTGCGCACTATTAATTATGCACCTTTTGTTTTGCCGTTCGCTTGGTGCGCAATTCCTTTTTTCTACGAGATTCTATTGTATTTTTAAAAGTTTAAGTATTTAAAAATCATGTCTATATTCCTAGTTATATAAGAATATTCGAGAAAGTTTAGGAGAGATCACTCCCGGTTTATTTTTATATACAGAGAGCTCAACCGCTCTGACTTTACCTTTCTTAACTGCCAAACAGGTACCAATCAGTTACACACCACGGAAGACAAAGTGAACACTCAAGGGACGTGACCATGATATGCATAATACAAGGGTCGTAACAATCACAAAAAAGCCATAATATAACAAATACAACACATTAGAACATGTTACGATCACATCATTAATTCTGCAGTGGTTTTTGGTATTTTGTAAAAGGGATTAATCAAAATACTCTATGTTGAGAGAATTCTGACAAGGATGGTTTCTCTGCACTATGCCCAGCAAAATTTTCATTGCTTATCGTGGACTCAGAGTCATCCTATAGATTTAATTATGGGATCAGAACTTTTGACTTTCGGGGTAGCAGTTGTCTACCGCAGGAGTCGGCAACATTTTAAGACAGAAGAGCCAAAAGTTACCATTTTCAAATATAACTAATAACTAAAAAAAAACCTAGGTTACTCAAGTCGAATTAATGTTTACCGACGGATAGGGAAATGCATGCTGAATAAAATAACATTCCCCATTGAACGTTATTCGAAAAAGTCGGCCATTGGACAGTTGGACAGTGGCAAGCATGGAATTGTTGCAACGGAGTTGGCCACAGCGCGGCTATGGGACTGGCACTGGTGCCCAAACGGCTGTAAGCTGTATACTCTCTATTGCACCTATTCTCATTGTTTCCTGGTGAGTGTTTTTAACCTGTTTAAATTTGTTTTCTTATATTTGCGAGTTTTGAAAATATCGGCAAAGGAATTTTTTACAATCAAGTATGGCTGTGGCTGTGGCTGTGGCTGTGGCTATGGCACATTGGTCTACACTACTGCAAGGGCGCCCTACCACGCACATTGTTCAATTTTGTAAACGTGTTCACTCAGGAAACTCTAGACACCAGTCATAGATAAATAATTGCTCCGCCCTAAGTAATAGGGGCGGTACTATTTAAATATAGCTATAACCAGTACGTGTAAGCTTTAACATCGAACACAAGCAATAACCATTCGGCTTTAGACGGAAGGATTGAATACACTACATCTATTGTTTGATGTTTAACTTTAATTTTGAAGACTTGTGAATCAGCTCGCTCATGTAAGTTTTTTTTTATGTAAACGATATGTAAATATTTTGTTAAGTACTAACTGGATTTTACGAAAAATTATAACTGTAAAAGGCCCTTACTTGTTCAAATAGCTTGAAATACAATAAAAAATAGAATGTTACACACATTATTCTTTTGAGGTTTTAAAACTATATTGCGTATCATTAAATATTTATATTAATAAAGCAAAGTGGTCGGGTGCCCGATCGGGCCGCATGCGTTTCAATTTAGACAGGCATCTGCCTCAAGCCCTGACATTATATGATGTCATACACCGAACCTGGAGGGTTTCAAAAAAAAAATTATTCACGTCGGAAAAACGCTTTAAGCCTGTTGGATTTTTCCAAATGCCGTATTTTCTTATATAAACAATTGTTTGTAAAAAAAAAAATTAAACATCGACTACGTCATATGGTATATGTACAAGGGAGATAATTTTTTACAGTAATAATTTTAAAATAATTTTATCTTATTTTCAACAAAAACAGAAAGAGCAAAGAAAGCATTTGTTTAAATAAAAATTTCGTTAAAAATTACGTTGTGTTTTGTAATTAAATTCTAAAACTAATTTCAAAAGTGTATCTCATATAATAATTGAGTTATGCTATTAAAGAAAACTTTATAGTTTTAATGACGTGCGCTTAAATAGTTTGCGAATATTTTATCAGTGTTACTACAACAAGCAAATAGTGTTTTAAACATGAGCATATCACGTAACAGCGAATCATCGTTTAATTAATCATTCAAATCATAAAATGCTTTTCGAAAATCGAAGTGAAGCTAGGCGGTATGTTTAGTATTATAGTATTGTTTATATTGTATATTTTTAACAGATTTCTCTTTACAAGCTATTTTTTTAAAATACACTATAAATAATTATCATTAAATTAAAAAAAAAACACATTTTCTGATTGAACTAAACAGTAGAAAATAAATTATATACATCACAATAATGCAAGCGATCACTCTACTATAAGCGATCGCAAAATGTGCGCATTATGACAAAAAATGAAAAACGTGGGGCGCCGAAGTAAAATTTTATCGGTTCATGTTAATATAAGATGTAAAAGTTATATTACTATTGATTAGATAATATAATTGCGTTTTATTAGGGAGCGTGTAGAGAGTCAACAGTATTAGAAACTAAGAAAATCACGGCGCCCCACGTTTTTCATTATTGTGATGTATAGCATTTATTTTCTACTTTTTAGTTCAATCAGAAAACGTGGGTTTTTAAAAACATTTTTAATGATAATTATTTTCTACTTTTTAGTCTTTGTCTGTTTGTTTGCATTCAAATCTTGCTATCGATTTTATCTTCTCGCATTCACGCAAATGCGCTGGCGAGAAATGGGAAAGTCACGCGAAATATTCAAATTCTCAAGTGTCTCAGTGACAATCACCATGCCGGAATCATCGCTTGAGCGAGGCAACATCGATGGTAATTGTTTGCCTGACACTTGAATCCATATTGGCCAAAGCGGCCATTAAACTTGATAATTTTAATGTATGGATTTATTCGACGTAAAAGTCTGTATTCACACTCACTCAAATTGACAATTACGTCGGGAACTTCACCAGGATCAAGGTTATTCCAGTAGGCTTTCGACGGATCCATGTTCTTCTTATTGTTGCGCAAGTGCGAGTTACATCGGTGACAAACTTCTAGCACAGTCTTTTGCGCAAGCTCAGGGGGAAGGTATCCCTTAGAAGCAAGCATGTGATATTTTGTCACCTGATTAGAATAGCACTTCTTATGACAAATATCACAAGTTATATTGCAAAAGTGTTTATCGTGTCGAAAAATGTTTTCATTGCTGCCGAACGTTGGGCGTAAGCAGTGCGTCGACGTTGCAATTCTGCTTCATGTCTTTCTTTGTCTTGACGAGCAGTAGCATGACGCTTTCTGTCTTTTGCTTGGCGAGAGACCCTTTCTTCTTCGGCCTAAATCGCAAGTGCAGCATCAGTTCGTTCTTTCTGCTTAGCAAGACGAGAGGCCCTTTCTTGTTCTGTCTCAATCGCAAGTGCAGCATCAGTTTTTTCTTTCTGCTTAGCAAGACGAGAGGCCCTTTCTTGTTCTGTCTCAATCGCAAGTGCAGCATCAGTTTTTTCTTTCTGCTTAGCAAGACGAGAGGCCCTTTCTTGTTCTGTCTCAATCGCAAGTGCAGCATCAGTTTTTTCTTTCTGCTTAGCAAGACGAGAGACCTTTCTTGTTCTGTCTTAATCGCAGAAGAGGGAAAGTAAAGACCTTGTTTTTATCAAATTACAATTAATATGTTATGTCCCTTTTTCGAACACATCAATAGGAGTCTAAAATGATCAATACAATTTTTCAATGGATCAATTTAGTAATAATAATAATTAAATATTGTATTGTCATCGGAAACAAAGATTTCCTGAAAATTTCAGCGCGCTAGCTTCCTTCCTTCCTTCCTTATACGGAAACCGGCTCAGAAGGTGTACTTCCATTAGCCAGGCAGGCCTCAGTGTGACGAACCCCGACCACTAGAGTTTCTCACACATCGGTCGCAATATTCGTTGGTTCTCAACGGGCTTTTCTTCCCCGCCCACCAGACGCAGGACATCGTCCCACCGCCTGGTACCCAGCTTGATCGTGGGGGGCATTCCGTCAGATCAAAACCCTCTAGCGGCTGTTATCTGTCACTGGCCGTTCCGCATCCACTTATCATGGGTTTGGTCGGACCAGTGGCATTATTCCGAAGCCCCGTTAAGGCTGCCGTTTAAAGTCAAAAGCGAGATCTGGCGACGGGCTCTTTTGGTTCCCGGAAGTCTTGCACCTCTCCTCCCCCACGCTATTATGTAGGGGACTTGGGAGACCGACGTACCAGGCTCTTCGGAAAGAGCCGGACGCACACAGCAGTTCCACTCGACCAGACCGAAAACCCTCTAGCTGCTGTTCACTACCACCAGCGATCCCGCACTCGCTAGGAGGGTCACGAGTTTGGTCCGACTAGTGGAGTTCGTCCGAAGCCGTGTGAAGGCCGCAGCTTAAAGTCAAACCGTCTGGTTGGGATCGCGAACAGACCCTTTTTGGTTCCCGGCAGTCTTGCATCTCTCCACCGCCACGCTATTTGGTGCCAGCGGGGATTCACCCGTCCAATGCGGGCAAATCTCCCGGCTCCACCATGTGGGGTCTTGGGAGTCCGACGTACCAGGCTCTCCGGACTGTCTGCCGTAGGGCCATTAAAATCCCTTTCGTTCCCAATTCCTGTTCATCCACTCCAACCCACATGGTTGCGGGAATCCGAGGAGACCGGGCAGCACGCTAGCTGGGAAGTGCCCGAAATTTCGATCGCAAGATTTGATGGAAAGACAAACAAACAGACGCGAAAGCAAGTTAAAGAAAACGTGGGAAAAAAGCTTTTTAACACGTTTTTATTAACTCAGCTTCGCGTTTGTTTGTTTGTTGTTAAAATTGACATCGAACATTAGCCCACTTCTGATTGCTCTAGAGATCTGAAATTTGGCATGCAGGCTACTTTCGCCTAACAATTTCAGATGCAGTCATAAAAGATAGCAATTAGAGACCGTAATTAGCTTAATTTAATTACGCCCCAAGGACCATAAAATTGAGGACATGATTTCTAAAGATACCGACAAGACTGGAGGCCTATTGACACAGTTACTTCGGCACCAATCGATGTGAGCGCGCTGGCCGTGATCGTATAGTGGTTAGTACTTCGCGTTGTGGCCGCGACAACCCAGTTTCGAATCCTGGTCGCTCAAGATTTTTAGTCCGTGTATTTATAAACACTTAGTCAAGTCATACTTAATCAAGTCATTAGATAAAGTAGAAAATAAACTATATAAAAAAACTTTTTTGAAAAACACGTTTTTCATGTGTAGCAACGGACTAAAAAGGAGAAAATAAAATACTTAAAAAAACTTAAAAAAAAAAACACGTTTTTCTTGTGGACTAAAAAGTAGAAAATAAATTTTTCTTTTGTGCTTCCTCGAGCTGTGCAGATTCTTGTGATGACTGACAAAAAACGTGGGTCGGGCAGATGGGTCGGGAAATTTGATGGTGAACGTACCCACGTTTTTGTCAGTCATCACAAGAATCTGCACAGCTCGAGGAAGCACAAAAGGAAAATTTATTTTCTGCTTTTTAGTCCACCAAAAAAACGTGGTTTTTTAAAAAGGTTTTTTAAGTATTTTATTAATTATTCACTCTCATAGTTTATAAGAAATTAACCTTTGAAAGCCGTAAAAACGTTAATGAATTTGTCATAACTTACTTACATATATGTGAGTTACGTTACTAGAATAGCAAACTTAATCCCATAATTGTTATAATTGTTTAGCTTTAAATTTAGTTTATACTCTAGTAACATCAACTTTATTTATCAAAATATCAAATTTTTACTTTGTGTTGCAACTTACACCGTGTAATGTTGAACGACATTTACATAGACTAAAATTATATACAATACTCGGCATACTGTCTAGCATCGCTTAGGTGTTCAAAAACATTTGAGAATTTAAATACTTATTTATTTAGTGATGGCTGAGGTGTGGAGAGCTTAAATGTAAATTTTAGAGTTTTTTTTCTCCTTTTTTCGCCTCAGACACGTAATTTATAGCGTCAGTTGTGTGTTCGCTTTAGTATTACAGTTTTCCTCATCGGTTTGTGAGGACTGATATAGGTTTACAATATTAATATTTCTTTCTTACTTGTAGCCTACTTTCATTCATTTAAGATGGTTTACTTATACATAGATCTAATACAAAACGTCTAAATACAAATAAAATAAAAATTAAAAAACCAACCTGAAACTGAAAATGCAAATGTGTTATTAAATAATGATTCAAGGGTTTTTTTCTCGGCGTGCGTGGTTGCCTGAGGGGACGGGGGGGGGGGGGGGGGGGGGGGGTGGGGAATTTGAGTTTTTTAGTAGAGCTGAAAAAAATTGGGATTACCGAGAATTAAAATTATACAAATTTTAAGCAATCGGAAAAGTTATGTTATTACAATGAGACACATCAAAGCAAACATTTTTCCATTTCAAACATCTATATCTATACAGTCCTCAAACATTTTTTTTCTTGTTTTTTTTTGTTTTTATTAATTTAATTGTTTTAAACATTTAAATCAGTAATAATAATATATTTGATAGATTTTAATCAGCATTAAAGACATAAAACATTGAACATCAATTGCATATATAATAATCAAAGGGAGAAAATAAAATGGCATAAGAACTAGATTAAAATAAGGTGTGCAAACTAGTTACCGTTACCGTTACCGTTACCGTTACCCTAACCCTAACCCTAACCCTAACCCTAACCCTAACCCTAACCCTAATCCTAACCCTAACCCTAACGATAACCATAACCATAACCATACCCATAACCGTAACACTAACCCTAACCCTAACCCTATCCCTAACCTTAACCCTAACCGTGACGGGTTTTAAGCTTTACAGAAAGACAGATACAAACACTCACACAGATCTATAGAGAAACCCTTAAAAAAATTTTGAGTTCGAGTTTTCGCAAGACTACTATACTTCCTCTCTACCTCGTATATGAGATAGTGAAAATGACGCCTATTTGACACCCGCCCTCTGTATTCGCAGATGTTCTAACATTATTTACTTTCTCAACATAAAACTGTACATTTAAAAACATTGTTTCTAAATGGAAAATTTTTTTATCATTTTTTCAGAATTGCCGAAAAAGATGTCTTTAGCTCACGTCGTTGTGCTTATGGCTTTAGTAGACACTGGAGGTGCTGGTTGTAGCAGAACAAACTGGACGGAAAGTTGGAAAAAATTGGGAACTTCAATGTGTAATAACCAAAATGATTTTATCACTGGCTTTTATCGAGCTGCCTTCACGGAAGCTGAAACTGACAGTATAGAATTATTAGAAGGAGTTGAATGTTGTTCGCAAAATTCACCATGGGACAAATCAAGAAAGCAAACAATGATTGCTAATTGGTGGTACTTGTTTGATAAAGACAACTCCTGGTCAAGCTGTCCTCCTGGTTGTCCTCCTGGTTATTTTCTTAAAGGTTTTTACAGAACAAAAGACGCTGACCGTGGCTTTCTGAATAACATAGAAGAGGGACGTTGTTCTAAACCAGCTGACCACCCAGCTACTTATAGTGACTGTTATAAACACGACATTAAGAAATGTTTTGCTGACAAAGGTTTGTGTAAATGTAATGATGGTTACTATGTCACTGGTTTGTACAAGGGGAATTGTAATCGACTTTATTGTATACAAATGTTGCGATGTTGCAAGCCGGCGTCAGCACCAGAAGTACTAGACGAGCTCTATAAGGTGAAGACACGCATCATGGACACTACAATGGAAGACATTGCTAATTTTTCTGATATTCTCGGTTACTATTATTGTTCAGGTTGTAGAGGTACGTTTGTTGGCGAGGATTTTGTAAGAGAAGGCGACACATGGCTTTCTAATTTAGATCAACCCTGTGGGTGGACCAAGCAACGCCTTAACATGGCCATGGCTTACGGCGACTGGAGCTTCGCTACGAAAGACATCAAATACGGATCTCCCATTATCCAAAACTTAGTACCGGAAACTATAGACTCGGGGACTTTTTATAACAATGACGTGACAGATGCAATGAAGACTATTACACGAAGTGAGACCAGCGTTCGCACAGTCACCCACACGACAACCAGTTCTTGGAAAAGCAATCTTGAACTAAACTTACAAGTTACTTACAAGCCACCTGGAATGGAATTTAGTGCTGGATACAAGTTTGGATATGAGACAAGCACGTCTACAAAAAATGAAAAAAATGAGAAAACATCAAAGCATTTTACAATTTCTACTAGCAAAAATATCCAGGCCTTTTCTGCTGCCAAATGGAGATTTATCGTTGCAAAAACACGAACTTCAATAACGTACACAGCTACAATCATAGCCAGGTTTTCTACCGAGCTTCAAGGCCTTCTTCGTGGGGGTGAAGGACAGCACGATACCTACACAAATTATCATAACAAGTATCATGGTAAAAATAGTGGTTCAAATGTGAACTACAAGTTTGGCAGCTCCAGCGTCCCATTTTACACAGACCTAAAGCAACAGAGCGATACAAGTTCACACCCTTGGTTGTGGAACGACTTGAAAAATGCGCGTCCAGAATTCCAACAAGTGGTCGACGATTTGTGCGATGAGAATAGATACGCCTTTCAACTTACTGGCAGGTTTGATGATGTTGTTGGTACAAGTGGAGATTTTACCTGGGAAGCTGTACCATTAAGTAAACGATCAGCAGAGAGTTTTAAGCGTGTGCCTGACCGTATCTTCCAGAATTCAACGCATGTCGCTAGGGCTTTGCCTAATGATGTTCCTCCAGTTAAACTTGATCCTCCTTAAGTGGATCTGCTCACTTCATTGATTTCCGGAGGAAACATCTTTGACATAATGTCATTATGGAATTCATTTTACACGATAGTCTATGAATAAATAAAAGTCAACTTAATAAAGTGCATGCGTTTATTTGTGTTGCATAATTGTGATTGAATCAGGCGTCGCGAATGGGGGCAGGAGGTGAGGACCTCACCTTGCAACAACAAGACAAAATATGGCAATATATATAGAGGAAAAATATAGTAGTTATAGTTAAATGAACAATTAATTAGAGTTAAATAGTCTTCTACGAGCAAAGCTGATAAATCTTGACTTTATTGAGGGGGGTGGGGTTGACAACATGACGTAAACCTTGCACCGACAGAGAAAACAATACTAAATCCAACTATATTAATAACGTAATATAGTTAGTAATAACCGATATGTCTATCGACTACTAGCATGGAAGTGACATAAAATGTTACAGTTTTTACAAAAGCGATGATTTTTCCCACTTGATTTAATAACTGTTAGAATTAAGCCCCTCGATGCCTTCTTTTGGTGGATTAATATAAGTTGACGCCATTCGACAAAATGATATTAAAGGAGGTGACACCAAATACACAGCCACCGAAGTGGATTGGTGTAAAACCACATTGGAAATTTACAAATTGATATATCAATAGGCAATAACAAGCGAGCAACAGATGAATAGAAATTGTTGACTTGAAACATTGACACAATTTGCCACATTTCATCAGTTATGGAAAAAGTTGTCAAACGTTTTGAAACAATTAATACACTTCCAAAACCAATTTAATCTTGAAAATTTGAATATTTTAGTATACATAATAAAAAAAAACTTCTAGCGGATAGTAACAGTTGTAAAAAAAGTTTTTGGTCGCTAAATTTTAAATAGAATAGAATCTTGTAGAAAAAAAGAATTACTCACCAAATATATCGCAAAACAAAATGTGTATAGTAATGCGGAATATTATCAGTACTTTATAAATTCACATGCGTTTTTTTAAAATGGGAAATAGCGAATATTAGAAAATCTCGTCAACGGAAATTACTTCCGATTGTCGGAAATCAATGATAAGTTGATACAGACCTACGATTTTGATAAAATACTTATATATGAAATTTCATCAACCTAGCTGTAACGATACCCATGTTCTCATGTTTCTACACACACTCACAGATATACGGACAAGATTGCCAAACTATGTTTTTCCGACTCAGGGAGGTGTAAAACGTCGAGATTTAAAAAAAAAATCTCGATTTTGTTTTTGCACGATTATAAGACTTTCTCTATAATTCGTATATACGAGAAAATAAAAAGACGATGTTCAGTCCCAAAAATGCGTCGCTTCACAAACATTAAATACATAAGACAGATATATTTAAAAACCTATATTAAAGCGTGTACAAATACTTACTAATGTATATGACACTTATATATATATATATATATATATATATATATATATATATATATATATATATATATATATATATATAAGTGTCATGTACATTATGGTCATGGTCATGGTCATGGTCATGGTCATGGTCATGGTCATGGTCATGGTCATGGTCATGGTCATGGTCATGGTCATGGTCATGGTCATGGTCATGGTCATGGTCATGGTCATGGTCATGGTCATGGTCATGGTCATGGTCATGGTCATGGTCATGGTCATGGTCATGGTCATGGTCATGGTCATGGTCATGGTCATGGTCATGGTCATGGTCATGGTCATGGTCATGGTCATGGTCATGGTCATGGTCATGGTCATGGTCATGGTCATGGTCATGGTCATGGTCATGGTCATGGTCATGGTCATGGTCATGGTCATGGTCATGGTCATGGTCATGGTCATGGTCATGGTCATGGTCATGGTCATGGTCATGGTCATGGTCATGGTCATGGTCATGGTCATGGTCATGGTCATGGTCATGGTCATGGTCATGGTCATGGTCATGGTCATGGTCATGGTCATGGTCATGGTCATGGTCATGGTCATGGTCATGGTCATGGTCATGGTCATGGTCATGGTCATGGTCTAAGTTTAAAATCGTTTCAAACTAAATTATCTGCCCCTAATAGCCGTCACCAAACCCGTCTCTGTGATTGTAAAATGTAAACAGCGTGAACACAACTCACCAGACAATGTGGGGGCGGGGTGGGGGTGGTTGTGATATTGATATAGAGGAAGAGAGGGGACTGTAAGGCGAGGTTGCAGCTTGTTTTCTAACGGCTCGAAGAAGAGAATTATATATATAGATATGTTGCTTAGAATAACTTGCATATAATTCTCTAATATTACTAATTCATACACATTGACAGTGTTTGGGTATAATTAGCTTAGAAAGTAGTATAGTAATTGTTCTTGAAGAAAAATAAGAATAATATTAGGCATTATCCTACATACTTAGTCTACTTATGTTATAATAGTAATTAAAACTTTATTTATTAATCCATGAAGCTCACGAATCATTAGATATTGTTATAGTGCTGACATTTTTAAAATTTATTTTTACAGGATCTCTATAACAGTTCTGACTGAAATAGATGGTAAACTCCAAGGAGAATGTAAATGAAAGTGAAATTGGACTATCCAGGTCGACGCAGTAACGGCAGCTGTTCGCCAGGAGACGACGCCGATGATGCTCACGGAGGAGCAACCCGATCGTCTGGCGGAGAAGGTGACAGATATCCTAGCCCTGAAACAACAGCCCTCCAGAGGAGCTTGTTACGGGTGTGGGTCCAGAGAGCACTTCGTCCGCGACTGTCCGAGGAAAGAAGCTAGGCAACGGGGTCAGCATTAGGGAAACGCCAGTCCATCGGCGTCGGGAAGCGGGTGCTGATGCGTGGTCTGCCAAGCTCCCAGCCAAGTTTACGCCACCGAGATCAGCACAGTGTCGAGCAACCACAGCTCAGGTTACCTCGCCTAGCGGCTGGAGGTACGGCTGTCGGGTGTTCCGCCGTGGAGGAGGGTTGCACCCAGAGGATGTGCGTGAGGAGGGTAGACAGCCACACCATGAATGTCAGTCTCATTGCGAGCAAGATCGTCGATTGGGAGAAAGACATGAGACAAGCAGATGTCGAAGACGCCGCCGGAGGAGAGGCCGACGACGTGGTGGACGCCGCCGTGGATTGCAGAGACCCGACAATACAATGTCTAGTTCAGAACCCACTGTGGCGGGGGGTGAGCGAAGGAGAGAGATCATCCCAACCAGGGAGGCAGATGAAGGTGAGGAACTGACAATCAAGGTGGTGGTCCCAACCAGACTTCGACAGGAGGCAACGCACTTCGTGACAGAGGTGGTCGCCGGAGATGTACAGCAACATGTGATTGTCAGACCAGCCCTACATCTGGTCAAGGTGGATGCGGGGAACAATGCATCGTACGCGGATAACTCTTTGATGACTCCAGAACAACCAGTGAAGCTGCGGATGTCAACCTGTCAACGACGACCAGTCGAGCTACTCAACCTGGCGCATCAAGTGGTGACCAGAGCCAGTACTGGAGCCTCTATCCTTTTATATGATCTGAGTCGTTAGCGCACTAGTCTCTGCTAATATACTGTCCATTATTTATGACTATTGTGAGTTGTAAATGTAAATGTCTATGTATATCCATTGTACATTTATTTGTAAGGGGGGCTGTGTAACACATATCATTGTTACCAGGCAGGGGGATAAATAATAAGTTGTAATTTATTGGGTTATGGCCCCTGTACAGGGGACGCAACTGTTATGTCATTTTGTCATGCTCTTCGGTGAGCGATTTTTACCTGTGTTCGATGTCATGTGACATGGGATAATGGGTAGTTCATGCCTGTGGACACGTAGGGCAACGTTGCCTATAAGTAGATCATGACACTGTAGACCTAATGAACGTATAGTGGTAATCTAAATTTTGTTAATTATTAGAGTACATATTTGTGTACTCCTGCTAGTGCTGCATGTTGCACACTGGTTAGGTTAAGTATTTATTTAAGTATTTGTTATTGTACTAATTATTGGTACTTGTTGGCAGTACTGTGTACTAGCAGTAACATATTTTATTACACCCGTGTATTTGTTTAGCCTACACGGGGTACTTCCAGTTATGTAACCTATTGTTTACATTTGTTTTTAAGGGCTACAGTTGTTTCTTGTGTTCTAAACAGTTTTTCTATGTTCTATTGTTTTCTACAGTCCTATTTTGCCGTTTATGGCTTGATTTTAATGTCAATAATGCCAGTAGTTGACAACACCAGCGTCGTTTCATTGCGTATTTTATCACCCCTTTTAAACACAACACCTCAGTGGTAATAAGCATTTAGTGTGTGTTACACATGTACTTATTTTCTCCATTATATCTTCAAAAAATAGCAACTCTCATTTACTATCATCTGAATGAATTTATTTCACAGAGTAAAACAATTGTAAACATAAGTTTACTTTTTCTGATTTATCATTTTTACAAGCAAAAAATGGTGAAACCTTGATTTCATTCAAAATCTGTTCTATAACATCTACGGACATGTCTGAAGCGTAAGCGTAAGCGTAAGCGTAAACGTAAGCGCAAGCGCAAGCGCAAACGCAAGCGCAAACGCAAACGCAAACGCAAACGCAAACGTAAACGTAAACGTAAACGTAAACGTAAACGTAAACGTAAACGTAAACGGTAAACGGTAAACGGTAAACGGTAAACGTAAACAGTAAACGTAAACGTAAGCGTAAACGTAAACGTAAACGTAAACGTAAACGTAAACGTAAACGTAAACGTAAACGTAAACGTAAACGTAAACGTAAACGTAAACTTAAACGTCAACGTCAACGTCAACGTCAACGTCAACGTCAACGTCAACTTCAACGCAAGCGAAAGCGTAAGCGTAAGCGTAAGCGTAAGCGTAAACGTAAACGTAAACGTAAACGTAAACGTAAACGTAAACGTAAACGTAAACGTAAACGTAAACGTAAACGTAAACGTAAACGTAAACGTAAACGTAAACGTAAACGTAAACGTAAAATT